ATAAATTAGGACTGTTGTAAAGATGGCATAGGACTGGGTAACGTTTCGTTCTGTTATAAGGTCACCATGAGTTGGAGCCAACTCAATGGCAACTAACAAAACCAATATTATTGTTGTTTTTGTTGTCTTATTACTTTTATTTTGCTCCAGACCCAGGTGGGGCCCCAGGCAGAAGACAGGCACGCAGCCACCTCGGCACAGGCACACTGCCCTCTGGTGCTGCTGCTGGGGAATCAGCACCAGGGAGCAGAGCAGCTCCAGCAAAACAAGCCCACGCCAGGGCCTGAGCCTGGTCTGCGTCTGCTCCACTCCCACACCAGACCCTTGGCCCATCCGTCCCACCAAAGCGTCATCCCCACCACCCTAGTCTCTGGGGGACAAGCCAGAGCCTGCTAGGTGCTGGCTCCGGCGGAAGGGCCCTGCTTCAAGAGCTTCAGTCCTCTCTGTTGCAGGGTAGGGCCCACTGCCCACCCGAGTGGAGCATCCCCTCTCTCAGCTCCCTCTGGAGGGTCCTGAGCAATGGAGGCAAGGCGCAGGCTGATGCTGCGGGAGGAGGAGGCAGGGGCAGCTGACTGTGACAGGTTGGAGGAGGCTTGGCCTCGATAGATCAGAAACACAGTCCCAGCTGCTGAGCATAACCTGGTCTCCCCCTATGTGCCCTTGTACCTCCCCAAGAGGAGGAGGAGTTCAGGGCCCACAGGGGCCTCGATGCCTCCTCCCGACGGAGGGGCTCAGTTTCCCGGGGTTGGGACACAGTGTCTGTGGGACCATGGGGGCTCACGGAGGCTCGCGGGCTGCAATCAAGCAGCCCTGTGCTCCTGATGGGGTAGGGGATGAAGAGCTGTCCGTCAAAGGGAAAAAGCATAACGGGCTGGACTTCTGAAGTCCACCACTGCGCCCAGTGGCAGGGGACATGGGTGACCTTGAAAGAGCCTCGTCAGGCCATAGTGCCTGCTTCACCCCTGCATAAGCAATCTCTAAAACCCCAGGTCATCCTGACATCAAAAGGCTAATGTTTAGCGCAGTGTGAGGCCAACATCGAGGAGAAATTAAACTCAGGCGGCGGGGGAAGGAGGGAAGCAAGGGCTGACAGAAGCAGCTGGGCTGGAAAGTGGAGGCTGAAATTCCTCAAGTTAATGCTTTCTAAGGCCCCTCGGGCCGCTCCCAGGTCTTGTCTGAAGCTATTTATTTCCAGGGGGGAAAACCCTATTGATCTTCATTCAGCTCCTGTCTGCTCCTCCACAACGATGTTTCAGCGCATCACCAGTCACTGCGAGAAATTTCTCATTGTTTTACACACAGCAGCTCCCAAACTCAAGAGACGAACGTTTGGGACCATTTGACTGAACTGATCTGAGAAGTCCAGACCGAGCTGGTCTGAGAACTCTGGGGGAGGGGCCCTCACTCCCCTGGGACGGGCTGCTGTTGCCCCCTGGGCCGGTACGTCCAGGAAGCTCCTGCCCAGGCTCAGGACTCGGAAGCTCAGTTCTGTGCGGTTTGTAGATCCTTGGAGAGTCCGGAGCTGGGCCACCCTTCCCTCCTACCCATACGCACACACACCTACTTTATGTCTCTGCAGTCATCTGGTTTCAAACCTCCCCACTGGCTGGCTCGAGAGCGCCACTATCCACTCGGACTCCTCATCACACAGAAGAGCCAGCCAGCCTCCCCCAGCTGCTGCCACTACTGTCCGGTCCCCCTTTTCGAATTCCAGCCTGGCCCTCAGTCCTACAATATGTAATGCAAGGAATGATCTAACCGTGAAATCTACAATGGCGCTGACAGTCCCCACCAGCCTGCACCAAAGGGAACTTTGAAACCACAGAATATCCCAAACCATCAAGGCCAGCCCAATAGTTTATCACGGAGGAAACTGAGGCTCCGTGGTAGGCATGTGAGTTGATCAAGGTGGCCCAGTAAACCTGCGGCAGAACAGAGAAGCTAACCCAGGCCCCCTGGCTCCCAGCCCAGGGCCCCCTCCTACTGGACTTCTAGGTCCTGTAATCAGGAAATCCGGGTCCCCACAAGAGGTCATTGAAACCCATCTGGCCGAGAAGATCCATGCATTAAACTTATTACTATGAGTTAAGATCAGGATCCATGTGAACAATAATAACGATGATAATAATAACAAAAAGCTGAACAATATGCCTTGAAAACCTTCAATGAGCAACACTTGATAATCATACGCAGAATACATCTTCCACATATTCATATAAAATAATCAACGATCATTTTTTTTCCACAGACTACAATCCAATTACTCTCTCTCCGTCACTCTCTCCCTCGCTCTCCTTTGTTACTTGCAAACCATCCAAGCAATCAATGCCTTGACCTCTCCCTCTGATAGACACAATTACAAAAAGACAGAGCGACGCAATTCATCTATTCAAGACGGATTGTTTGAACACTCTGTCACACTGCTGAGCTATCCATCTCCTTGTCTAAAAGGAAATTTCAGCCCCCAAAAGAGGCACAAAGACAGGAGGCGGGTCCGATGCTCTCCAGCCCAGAGGGCCCCTTGCACTCCTGCAGGAAAACCCTCTCCCGGGCTGGTGCTTGGCAATGCCTGCCTGCTAGAGAAGGATTCAGCTTCAAGTACAGCCGGCTCATGCATCAGCCTCCAGCACGGAAAACCGAAGCACTCAGCACACTCCGGAGCCTGGAGCCCAGTTTCTGAGGGCTTCGATTCTTACAGCCCCAGCTAGACCCCTGAGATCCCAGGGGTGGGGAGGGATGGGGAAAGGGAGATGGCATCGGGCTCAGCCAAGAAGGTGTGTTTGGGTTTCAGCACGAGACTCTCTCTTTGCTGTAGCCACTGGAGCTCCCTGGCTCCAGCTGGGTCTCGAGACTGAGCTCTGAAGGATGGAAGCTCAGCTCCCCAGGAACCTTCCGAGAAGCCCAGAGGCCTCAGAGCCTTCCCATCCTCCGCCCACGCTGGCACAGCTCCAGTGGTCACGTTTGGCATCAGCACAGCACCCCAGTCTGCAGGCTTGGCGTCAAATGGGGCAGGGCTCTGGGATATAAATGGCCTGGGACGACATGCTAACTAATCCTGGGGCTTAATACGAAGAAGATTAGAAGAGAGGAGGGCTCTGCCATGGTTTAATTGCAGTATTACACACTGAATCCAAGAAAGGGCGAGCAGGCTTGGGGATGTGCTACCCCTTAGGGCAGTGAAGACTACCACCCCCCAGCACAATTCAATTTCACAGTAAGAGAGGGTGGGTGAGGATACCTAATTCTGTCCCTCGTGGCTCACCCCTCTGGGGCCGCCCACCTGCTCCTGTCTTTCTGGGCCTCTAAAAATCTCCATCCCTGAGGCTGGGCTGAGAGCACGCTCACCCCACCCCCTGCGGAGGAAAGGCCAGGGGAGAGGGACCTGCAAAGCATGGGCTGGGCGCACAGCACACTCTGGGTCCTCCCCTCTTCCCTTCCAAGGGGACTCTGCCATGGAGACCCCTTCCCCCACAAACAGAGAAGGAGAGAGGGAATAAAGGAAGTGCCACTACGGGAGCTGTCTGCCCCTAGACTGGTGACAAGCTGGGCGCTAGGGCAGTGAAAGGCACAGAGATAATAACATTTTTGGCTTAACAGTGTAGGATGCCTGACCCTGAGGGGTGGCCCCAGAGTCCCCTCCGGAACCTGGGCTCCTCTGTCTCCGAGAGTCCGTCTGCCAGGTCCTGGGCATGGACCGAAGGATCCTGCGTGGGTAGAGCTGAGGACGGTGCTCTGCCCCCAACCAGATGTGGAGTCCAGGAGGGGCAGGGCTCCAGGGAGAGAGCAGGGCGGAGCCAGCCCTTCAGGGGTTCTGACTGCCTGCTAGGAAAACCTCAAGTATGGAGCCCAAGCCGACTTTAGTTCCCTGAACCTCCTCAAGCGGCTGGCAGCCCAGGGTCCGCTCCTGAGAGAAAAGCCACGGGAGAGGATGGTGGCCCTGGCTCGATCAAGCTCTACCAGCCTTGTGCCAGAAGCTGCCGGCGGCGCCTTGCGAACCCAGGCGGCCCAGGTCTCCAGCCTGGCGGCGGGCGCAGGGCTCGCCGTAGCGGAGGCTCCCGAGTGGCCTGGCTGGGCCCAGCCCTGCGGCCCCCGGACGGCGGACACGCACGGCCCCCCGCACAGCCCAGAGCGCTGCCCGCAGGGTGCCTGGGGCGGCCACAACAAAGTTAAAGCCCCGGGTAAGAGTCTCCAGCTAGCAGAGATACGAAGACGCCAGAGCCCCCCCAAAGGCGCGCGGAGGCCCGCCAGCTGCGGAGGGATTCGGCCAACTTTAAAAACCACTCGCTTCTCTCTCGCCGCCTTCCCTCGCAGGGCTGGGCGGGCTCCATCGCTTCCTTCCCCACCCCCCACCCCATCAGCCTTTTGCTCCCTCAGGCAGGGAGAGGTCTGGGCCCGGAAGGCCGGGCTGGAGCGAACGGCGGAGGGACTGTCCCTCCCCTGCCCCAAGTCACAGTGCTAGATGGGGGCCACCGAGCCTGAGGGCGGCCACGGAGAGAGGAGACCAGCAGCCTTCGTCATGCGAATCCGTACCCTGCATCCCCGCCGAGTCCGTTTGAACCATGCCCCAGGTAAGGGCGAGGTGCCCGCGGGGAGCGTGGAGGGGAGAGGAGAGAAGTTGGCGCCTTCCCCAGGGTTCGCGCTCTGCGGAGAAGCCAGGTCCCATAACTCGGTCTGAGGCCGGTTCTGCCGGCAGTTTCCGGGAAATGCGCCCGTGACTCGGGTTAGGGCTGGAACCCGTCGCCACACTCTGCCAGGTCTGACCTCCCAGGAACGTGTCAAGGGCCCCTGGCCCGCCGCGGCCGGGCTGTCTCCTCCCCAATAAGTAAAACCTGTGACCCCGGCTTTAGAACTTTGTCCTCACCAAAACGAGCTCCTAGTGGTCAGCTGGCCCCTGTAGCCCGGAGAAAGGTTGGGAGACTATCTCGGGATCGCGTTCCGAAGCCCCTCAAGCCCGCCCCCGTCCGAGCGCGCGGAGACCCCCTGCTCCGGGGAGCCCTTACCGATCCGGATGACGTGGGGCATCCCGCGCGAGTCCGGGACCCAGAAGGCGCACACGAGGAGCCCGGCCCAGTATTCCCAAACCAGACTCCGGAGGCGCCGCCAGGGAGCGGTCATCGTTGGGCGCCGCCGAGCGTGCCCGGGGCGCGGCCGTGGCGGGCTCCCTGGGGCGGCAGCTCTAGGCGCGGGCGCGCAGCAGCCCCCGAGGCGCCGCCTGGCCCAGCCGTCCGGTTCCCGAGCGCCTCTGCGAATGGGGGGCGCCCCGCGGCGCCGAGCACATCTTACTGGGGGGCCGCCCCACCGGCGCCCGCCCCGCCCGGCTGCCGCCTACGGGCTGCCCGCGAGCTAGGCTCCTGGGCTCCGCCTGGGCTCTGCTCAGACTCGGCCCCGGCTCGCGTCAGCTCGGCTCCCGCGCGGGCTGCCACCTGCCCCGGCTGCCCGGCGCTGGCGGGCGGGCTGCACGCGTCTCCGGCCGCTCCTCCTCCAGCCGCCGCCGATGCTATCGCCCGGGCTCGCACAAAGCCCCGGAGTGGAGTTGCACGCGCGCTCACACTCCCTCCCAGCCTCCTCCCCCGCGCCCTGCCTCCCGCCTCCCGCGTCGCCCGCCGCCCGCGCTCCCTCCGCGCACTCCCCCGCGCACACACTTCACACTCACACCCGCCGAGGCGCACACTTGCGCTCTCTCACCTGCGCGGGGGGCGGGGAAGGGGAGGCTGAGCCCGGTTTGAGGGGACGCCCTGAGAACGAGCACTCTCCTCGCTTCCCAGACGTCCCCAACGGCCCTGCCGCCCCCAGTGCCTTTAACTGCGAGGGCATGGAGCCCGGGAACCGGGCGTGGAGCGCGACAGCTGGCACCGACCGAGAGCTGGGAGACGGCGGCAGCCTAGCGACCTGACCAGCTAGCTGGAGGCGACGCTCGCGCCCGCTGGGAGCAGAGGGACCCGGAACCCGCCGTCAGAGGAGTCTCGCCTTCCAGTTCCCACGCAGCTGGCGCTGGCTGGACGGCGACGGCCAGGGACTGACCGGGGAACCCGTTCCCCCCCCCCCACCTCATTCCTCACTGAAGCAGAATTGGGGCTGGGGTTTGGTGGAGACCGAATTCAAAGAGAATTGTCCACGCTGGGCGAAGGGAGCTGCAGGAGCTGGAAGGGGTGGGAAGAGCCGAGGCCAGACCCTCTGTGTGGAAGCCAAGGCTTGACCGCGCATCACAACGATAGGGGCTGCGGAGGAAGGTGACTAATTCTTTGATTTAGCAGGGCAGGTGAGATGGACCCTGGTCCTTCTCACCCCTCTTCCTGAACTACAGAGGACGGGCTGGGATGCCCCCTCCTCCATTCCTCCTGAGAAAGAATAAAGAGAACCTGTAATTATCCGTGGGATGGAGCAGGACCCGTGGGGGAGCAAGCTGGAAAGGGTTAAAAAACAAAAACAAAAAACTTGTTTATTAGCAATAATTTTTTTTTCAAGTGGCCCTGGGTGTTGAGGGAAAGGAAGGGCTGTGGAGCGAGGCTGGAGCAGGAGGCTGCGAATTACGCAGTTAGACGAGTTTAATGACCTTTTTGACAGAGATAAAGCGGTGCCGATACAGTAGATAAATAAACGGATCTGTCACCCGGCAGCGGGCTAGGCTGTGTGAATTTATTTTTCTCATTTAAATAATTTGATCTATTCCATCATTCCCAATCTCCCATTTGCCAGCTGTCTGGTAAGAGCATGGCCCCCAACATCTGAACAGCAAAATCTTTAATTTTCTTACAAATATACTATTAGTCGAGCTCTATCTCGCCTGGTAATTTCCCTGTCTTTTCCTTCCCTCCCTGTCTGGGTGCAGAGGACCAGGGCATTGTGTTTGGATGTGCATAGCTCAGTATGGGCAATCCTGCCGATTAGAAGGGAACTCCCTCCCACCTGAAGTGGCGGTACTATGGCTGTGGAAGGAGAGACTTGGAGGGCTTTCGGCTCTCGGCGCAAGAAGGGAAATAGGTGTGCCCGCCTTGAGGACATCCTTGAAGAGACGGCAACAAACGGAGGTTACCAGGGATTTGTCTTCGCCATACTTGGGCCTCCCTCGCCCTGGAGCAGGAGCTGCTGGTTTCCCAAGCATCCACTGGAAAATGTTGCCCGCAGGACCAGAGGAAAGGACATGCCGACCAGAGCCAGAGAAGCAGCAGCTGCCACCTCCTGATAGAAAGTAATGGGCCCCAGTGGGCACCAGAAAGGAGGAAGTGCAGAGAAGGGATCAGAAGGCCCCCACCCTCCAGGATGAATCTGGAAGGCTTCTTCATTCAAGGCTCGACACCCCCTCCCCATCACCTATCAGCTTCCACAGCTGGTTTGGTTGCCCTGAGGAACCAAAAGGACTGGCTGTTTTCTGCGGAAAACAACGACAGTGCCCTGATGGAGAAATGGAAAGAAGATTGACAAGGACCTGAACTCCAGGCAAAGGATGCAGGGCTCATCCACTGCCCTAAGGATGGTTAGAAGATGAGGCAGGTGGGGGGAGCCTGGATGCTAATTTTGTATGGGGTACCCTGCAGGCAGCAGCCCCCTGCCAGAAGGGGGCGGGTACGGAAGAAACTGCAGGAAGCAGAGATGTTGAGCTGTGGCTTTGCGGGAAGGGCAGATCTGCGCTCCAGACTAGAGCCAGGTGAGAGAGGGATAAAAGGTAGGAGTGGGAGGAGGAGGAAGGAGCAGCCTCCGAAAAGCTAGCCCTGGAGTAGTAGTACTAGACAAGTGAACGGATGAAGACAGAGAGGGAATCTGAGGCCCCCAAAGGGTGAGAGTGGGGCCCGGTCGCCTGCGGCCCCTCTCACCACGCGAGCTGCCCCCAGGGAAGCTGCACAAGCTGGGCCTTGCTCTCACTACACCCCAGAGGGGGTGGGGGTTCCCCAGCGTGCTGCAGAGGAAGGCTGTTCTCACTGTTAAGTTGGCTGCTGCAGGAAACAGCCTCAAAGCTGCAGAAGCTGTGAGGTTAAGTCGCTGGAATTGGCAGCTCGCCTAAAACCCTGGGGTCAGAGGGAAGCTGGCTGTCCCCAGTCCAGGACTCGGCCTTATTCTTGACCTGGCTACAAGCCCTTTTGTTGCACAGAGGTTTTCCCAAACTGACGGCAGCCTTCTCCCTTCCTGTCCTAGGGGAGGGTGGAGTGCATAACAATAAGAACAACAATGATAATAACTGTTAGTATTTATTACATGTTTTCTATGTTCCAGACCATGTACTCAATGCCTGACATGCATCATTTCATCGAACCCTCTACAACCTGCTGTGGTAGGATCCGTATTATTTTTCCATTTTACAGATGAAGATGCTGAGCCTCAGAGAAGTTAAGTAAGAAGTTCAAAGTCACACAGCTAGTATCTGGCCAGACTTCCTTCCTTTAATAAATATTTATTGGGCATCACTGTTTGCAGTCACTGTGAGTGAGGAGTCAGGATTCACGTGCAGGCCTATCTATCTGACTCCTCAGTCTGCAGTCTTAACCCTTGTCCTATAGTGTGAGGCTGAGCAGGCTTTAGGGGCAGGACCTCACCATCTCTGCCAGTGGCCCACTAAGTCCTCTGGCTGCTTGTACAAAGGCTAAGAGTAGAATAGGATTTGAGCTCTTTACTTGGGCAAACTGGGGTGCTCAGTTCATCCCTGACTCATGAGGAGAACCCTGCACCCCTAACTCCCACTGTGCCTTGCCAGGCTGGCCTGCCACCAGCAGGAACCCAACGGGCTGGCACTATCTCAAGCCGCATCTCTGGGGATTGGGAGCCGCCAATCCTGGCTTTTCACATTGTTGGTAAACAAGTCTACTCACTAGCCAGGCCTAGGCTCCCCGCTTCCCCAAGAGGCAGCCAGTGCCGGATTTATGAAGCCTCCAAACCTCATTCAGACTAATGCAGCTTTTCATTCCGAAATAAAAGGGGCTGCTGTCTGAAAGGACAAGTGCTCAGGCATTTCATTAACATCCCTGAAGATGACTGAGCTGGCCCAAGTTGCTGCCAACCAGATTCATGTCTCCCACTGGCTCACAGGTGGGGGTTGGGGTAGGACTCCGAGAAAGAACCTGGAAGCTCCCAGCCCCCTGCCTGGGTCCCTCCTCGGAGCCCTCCCGGCATCTGCGGGTGAGGGAGGGGACCCCAGTGGTGGCCAAGCGGCTGGTTTGGATGAGTCCCCTGTGTGTGTGTTTTGTTTAGACTGATCCACTCCTGCTCTCAATCTCCCACAATCACGGTGAGTGATGAGGCCCTGGGCTCGAGTTACTGAGATTCATGATCTCCGTTTTCCCAGGAAACCACCGAGCAAACGCGTGGATTTGCTGAGTGCAGATTCCTAGGACTTGAGTGCCCTCTGCTGAAGACTCCTTTCCTTCGTCTCCCTTTGGGCGGCCCGCTGGGCAGGCTGCTGGTGGGACTGCATGCTGAAGCCCTGAGGCTCCCAGCCAGGCTCCTAAGTGTCCTCATATGGCCTGCATGTGGCAGCTACCCAGACCTGTTCTTGGGGTGCCTTGGTGAGAATGGGGGAGGGGCTACCCCATCCCCATCTCGCCCTGCAGGGGGTGGGGAGGCAGTTGTCAGCCCTTGCTTGATCTTTGTCAACGGCCCCACCATCCCGGAGAGGGAAGAGGGAGGAGGCCACCCCAGTACCCACGCTTGTTTCTCAGCATCCTCTCTGTGGCAGAGTACATGCTCACCACAAAAGCCAAGCCTTGGTCCTTCTCAGGACACTGTGACCTGCCTCTGCTCAGGGACAGGTACACTTTCCTCAGCCAGGGGCCTTTGTCCCTCATCCCCATCCGAAGAAGGGAGAAACACAGCCGGAAAATGAGCCCAGTGAAGGTTGCAGCACCTTAGATTTTTGTCAACAGTCAAGCAAGTTCATTCCCACCGGTCAATTCCTGTGTTTATTGTCAGCTTAACCCACTTCTTCGTGTTATTTGGCAGCAGTGAGAGAGACAGGTAGACAAGCCACCAGAGAGATGTTATTTTACTGACATCTGCGTTTCAATAGTTCCGGTGCAGTCCTGGTGCAGGAGTAAATGATATCCGGCAATCCTGTTTGTATCCATCTATAATGGAACAGCCACTGGTAGGCTGGAAGCGGAACTAGCGCTGCTGCAGGTAGGGGGAGGGGAGGGGGAGGAGACCTGCCCCTGGAAACCCCCCCCCCCCGGCCTCCAGGGATCCACTGGGGTTCCCTTTCCTAGCACCAGGGAGGGCAAACAGAGCCACTCCCTCAGTCATTGGGTCATTCCCT